GCTTTATCTTCTTGAGCAAGACGGATCGCGCGCGCATCGCTGACCACTTTGAATTCCGGCGGAGAAGTAAGAGCGAGATACGAAAGTTAACCGAGAGAGAATCGCGAGATTCGCCGCGAGCGGAAGCGAACGGATAGATAAATAAAACTGAAATCCACTTTTTCGACTTTTCCGATCTTTTTGAGAACCGCCGCTCCCATTTCCGGCGATTGTTAAATAACGATTCTGCAATGCAACGAAAAATTTTTAACATCAATGATTGTTAACTCGGAGTACGCTACTTATTTGTCAATTCGCCGTAATCCTTTTTGTACACGAGATAGATTTTCATGCGAAAAAGTTCTTTTCTCTGACCGTGCTAATCATGTTACTAAAGTACAATTTTTCATCTCGTTTATTTCCGTGTAATATGCAATCGTGTCCACGATGTTTCGTGAAAAATTTTAATACGCGAATACGTAATAGCACTTCCACTACATTGTGGACGACATTGCATAAATGCTCGTTTGGGACGCGTTAACATGCATTTAATTTCTTTTTTTTTTTTCTCGAGATTTTTTCATTCTTTTTTTTTTACACGACTGTAAAACTAATGCAACTCCATTTTACCAAGAACGCCTTTTTTATGAACGATGAAGTATACATATACGCCGTAATAATGAAATAGCGTCATGTATCATGTCGAACGGGTCTTCATTATCCGTGAAATTTTCTAGGCCAAAGGAGCGACGTTTCATGCGGCAATGTGTATGTGTCATACAGTTTGACGGAAAATCCATGACGGAGGGCGAAACATAATTACGGCGCGCGCCTTGTCATCGAGCCGCTGAGGGGGCGGTCGTCGTTGTTCGACGGATGTCCGTGCAATGTCGAGTCGGGTCAGCTGGCAATGTTGTACTGCCGCTAGCTCGTTAGAATGAAATGGCTCTCAGGTAAAGAATGGTAGCAGAAAGAATTAACTCTTACCACGAGACGCGGGTACTTAGATCGTGCAGAAAAACCTGCGCCAAGTGTTTTTGCCGTCTGGAAGAGATCTTATTGTTCCTTATAAAACCCGGTTAATTGCTAAAGTCCGGTGCTCGTTAAAAATGGCGCATTCTGTCAGTGCAATTATGTCGTCATCGTCTATTTCTTCCCCTCTTTCAGTCTTGCGGTAATTCTATATTATCTAATTATATAACATAAAAAATAGATCTTTTTTTCTAGAGCTTGAAAGATCGGAACACGTTTCGAAAAGTTCACATAATGATAGAAGATGATATCTTCATGTTCATATTTTTTTAAATACATTTATATCTTGCTTATCTCTCATCTATTTACGTTAAAAGTGAATGGTGCGACAGGAAAAATCTCTATTTTATAATGATAATAAACAAATACGCGCCTTCTTTATCAATTTTTAAATTCTCTATAATAAGAAATGATGTTTAAGCTGCAGCTCTCAAAAGATCGTTTTCTGAGAGGATAAACGATCGAGTAAGTTTTTGATGAGACATGAAAACGAAGAGAGAAAAGAGTTTTGTGTTAACCGCGGGGACATTTGGCGGACGTTTCGCCAAGCGCGGCTCTTGATAAAATGAACGCTTTAATCACTCCTCGATTATCCCTTCACGGATGAAATTTTAATTTACGATGCAATAAAGTTCCAAAGAGTCGTGCTCGCGCGTGCAAAATTCGCTCGCTTTATGCGCTCTCAATTTGAAAGTTTCAGTTTGACCGTTAAGCCCCCGGAGGGAAATGATGGGGCGGAGGACAGAAATTGGAGTGGGGGTAGAGAGGGGGGGGGGGGGAAAGGGGAAGGAAGAGGTGCTGGAACAAGAACTACGGAGGAAAGTGCGGAGTGGCGGGGAACATCGTATTAAATCGGAAGATTGGAATTCTAATTAATACTCGCGGATTATCGATAAAGGGGCACGAGGGAACGGGGCACGTTAAGGGGACGCAGGGAGGGAGGGAGGGAGGGAGGGATGGAGATGGCGGAACGATGACTCGTTCCGTTCGTTTCATCCTTCGCGCGTCTTCGACACTCGCCTTAATGTCTTCTCTAACCCACCCTCACAAATGGCACCGCCGTCGGAATAGATTATATCGTAATGAAAATCTTGACGTTTGACGTTCTGCAATTGATGACTTTATATTACCGTCCATTCATTGAATATCTCCCGTACCGATGTATATTACGTGTCAACGTTTCTTTGCAACAGACTGATTGGTGTAAAATGAATTTTCACAAGCTGAGTGATTATTTGCAGGAGCATTATTAAAGGAAATATTGAAAGCACGTGCTTCACACATCTACGGTCACGAATACCCGAGTTCTTTCGGTTGATTAATAGATACTTTCTGCATAACTGTAGAATCATATCCATCGTTAGTAAAATCATGATAATTAATTTTGTCCGTTTTTAATTTCTCGTTAATAATATTGCATGTACATATATTTTTTTTTTAAATCAAATGTTCTCTAATTATAAATCTGTTATCAAAATATATTACTATATAAAATACATGGGAGATACCAATCTGAAAAATCCACTATAATCACAAAAAAAAGGGCAAGATATCAAGATCTTTATTTGAATATGAGTTTTATATTTTATTTTAATCGCGCATGCTTCACACAAGCACGTTATACGTTCAATATGGATCGCTCTGAATATCTTTTTTTCACGCAGTTTACTCTGCCGCTACTATAATACAGGAAAATGCGACGTCACACGTGTCGTGAATTCTTTCCGCGGATGGAGCGCGCATTTGGCGACAGCTGTATATAATTGTGCGAAACGGATACGGGATTGTCGGAATGTGCCGTACGTCGCATATCCGAGAGAATTAGTTACGCGGGTGCGTTTTTGGTACGCACATTCCATTCTTCTTTTTTATCTCGTAGCATGCAACGAACGTCATGTCCTAAAAAGATAAATTATTAAATGAATTGTTTGAAACAAAATCAATAAATTGTTTCACGGGTTAACGAGTTGATGTCGCATATTTAATCGTACGCGATCGTAAAGATACTGCTTTGTTATTTACTCTAAATATATTTTGGCTATTATTATTAATAAACTTAATTTTACTATGGAATATATTGCTGATATTCCATTAAGTATTAATGTTATATACAAGAAAGAGAAAGGAAGATTTTTTTATTTCTCTCTCGAAGAGTTAAACGCATCGCACACTTTATCGCGAAGCTGCTCAGTTGCATAGACGTGAAAAACCGTCGGCGTTTCTCGCGCGGAAGATGAACCGTTTTCTCGCGTTGGGTATAATTTCCGCGTAATTCACTCACAGCCGCGAAGGGAATATTTACAAATGGGATTTAAATCCGGGAGACGATCGCGCACGATAGTCGCGAGCCGCGGAATAACGTTTGCCAGCGGAAGCGACAGCAACGGCGGCGAAGGGGGTGAATGGATGGAGACGCTTAAAGTGTAAATAGGAGACGACTCGCGCCAGACAAAGCGTTTTCTTGACCCCCTCCCTCTATATATTTCGCCTCCTCCTCATAGCTATAAAAGGGAAGGACATAGCCCTTTCACGGTTACTACGAGTCTGGGACTCTCGAATCGAGAGTCGGCGGAAGTGAAATCCTGAAATATTAATGTGACACTCAACCTTCGTCGTACGCCGATTCTTACCACCGGCTTCGTCTTCCTAGTTCTCATCGTCCGTGTTCTTTCTCTTTCTCCGAGATCGTACGACCGACGTTTGGCTTTTCTTTCTCCTCACGTCCGCCCTTGTGCCACCTTGTTGAATCATATACCACCCGCGTCGGCACGTTAGCCTGGCACGATTCGGAAAAACAGAATGTATATATATGTGTATATATATATATATATACACACTCACACACATATATACATTTACGTATAAAGGTTTTTTCCGTGAATATCAGTTTGCTTGATCAAGTAGAAAGAGCTTTAATATAACATCGTCGAAATTGATACATAAATGTGTACAATGAAAATGCATTGATGTAAAAATGTGCTTTTTACAGGAGCACATTATTTATAGCTTTTTCGCTTTTTTTTTTAATTTTAATGTTTCTTGTTCTAAACATGAGGAATAAACATGAATTTTGTTTTATTTAAATGCGACAGGTGGATAGTGCTGGTAAAGAGAGGGAATTTAATATATTTTTGTTATACATACTTGAAAAGCAGAGAAATATTTCACCGGCGCGTATATTAACAACTTTCCACACAATCGTAGATAGCAAAACATAGACTTCTCGTTTAGACGTATTGTAATTATGTGTGTATCCGACTATTTCGAAAAGTTATATCAGTTTAACCAGTGACTTTATTTAATCAGACAATATGTATTGTTTGTTATTATACGCAATATATCACAAAATTCCATGCTTTTGTCAGCCTTTATTAAATAGCTGAATAATTAATCTAATCTGTAAAATGTGTTACGTGTTTTCAACAAAAATTGATTTTATGATATTGTATTGAAAATTTACATTTATTTATTAAGTCATGAAGAGAAGGAATTTATTATGACACAAATCTGTTTAAGCACACATAATTAATTTTCGACACTACATCAATATATTCAAAAAAAAATTTTTTTTTGCTGTTCTCATTTTCCCGCATAGTGAGTTTTTGTTAAAAAAAAGATTAATAATTTATCTATTTATATCAAATTTATATATTTATTATTTATATTTTGAAATGTCATCCTTTGCAAAGCTACTGTACTGTAATCTACGCATCTCTTGATTGTATTATACATTACATCGCCTTGCCAACATACCGTGCATGATTAACCGCAATAATGAATATTTCCGCACTTATAAATGATGCAAGATACAATTAATTACGTGCCGCATAATTAATTAACTGTGACAATGCGGCCGATCTTTCTATATGGCAAACGACATATCTGCAGAATACACACATATTTATGCATAAAATTATATCGCATATAAATCGCGTTATTGCATTTATTTTTGACGACTTCTAACGGTATTGATATTGCGTTTTTTTCAGGAGGGCGAGAGGGGGTATTTGGAGGGACTCGCTTCGAGGTACGCGGATCTCTTCAGAACACATTACGGAGATGTTTTGGAACCGCTCGAGGAGTTACGTCGGCGAGAAACAAACGCTTCCGCCAGAATGCCCAACACTCAGCTCACCACCAGTCATTCACAGCCCATTTACGTGCCCGGGAAATACTCGGTAAGCAAAATCCCTCATATTCGCTTTTATTTGCCACCCTTCCCATTCCGTCAATTCTCTTTTTATTGCTTCCGCGGGGAGCATAATGCGGTTAAAGGATGACATACAGTATATAGTGGCTTGTGTCTATCGCCGCGATTTCTTCTTATTACTCCACTCCCCTGACACTTCGCCAAATTGCTTTCGAAGGGACAGAATTCGCGTGAGGAACACGTCCAGTTGATTCGATACGAGCGTTTGTGCCTTTTTCTGATGGATAGATACAATTTTGTTACGAGGAAAATTGTTAGAGGGAGACATAGACAATTGCGTGTCGATAAAATACGAACGTATTTATAAAATTGCGTTTTAACAGTTATTGCAACAAAGTATATAAGCGTGTACCGAATATTTAAGATAATGATTAATGATAACATGCAATTGATGAAAAGATTATATGAATCATATTAGGTTTACTAAATAACGTTTTAAATATTGTCGTCTTTTTCTGCAAGAGGCAGAAAAATATTTAAAAGTCTTTTTATATATTGAACGATGTACTTAACAAAAAAGAGATTTAGCGAAGAATGATTTACGGAAGCTCAAACACTTTGCATTTGTGGGTTCGTGGCCTCTATGAGTAACTTCCTAAAGTGCTTTAAGGCGATTAACCATGTAGACTCTATCGATCCCAGCTTAAATCGGTTATTGTTCGTTACCCCAGACTTTCTCCGCGTCTAATCGAGTTTTCAAGCGCAAGCAATCGATTGATGATTAAGGTCAAGCTCTTCTCCGAAGATCGATAGCATATCAATTTGGAAAATTAATAAAAATCACTCGCCTTCTGGAATATCGCGTTTTTATTAAACGTGAAAACGATTGTTTGATCGTCTTGCTTATAATTCAATTAACTGATTGTGAATACCATTTAATTTTCTACATCTCACGATATATTTTTATAATTTTTATATTATCAAAGTTTTATGTGTTCAAAAATTGCAAAAGCTTTGTAAATATTTAATCATATATATTAAAAAAATTAATGTTAAATTAACAATATTCGACAAAAATTTGATTCTGATTACAAAAATAAATCACTGTTTTTTTTTAAGTATATAATTGTCAAGATATTTTTATTGTACTAATAATTAATAATCTACAATGAAACCAAAATTTGATATGGATTTATTATTATATATAAAAAACATTCTATATAATCAGTACATTTTTTTTCTGGGAGGACGGGGTTTGTCGTCTCAAAAGACATGATTAGACTGACCCTTAAGTCCGCTTATACAATCTTTTTTCTCACAAAATTTCGTGGCACAACAATATTGTCTTCATTGTAACAAGTTCTTAATACTACTTCCGAGGCTTTTCCTACTTACGATGTAAATGGTAGTCCCGTACTGCTCCGCAAGCAAAACCCGCCGCCATGTATAAAGTAATGGAAAAGAGCGAACGTTCTTCATTTTTGTGCAGCCCTCGAGCTGTCTCAGCGACAAGGAGGAGGATGAAATCTATGGCTTCGGATACGGGGTCTTCAGCAGACAGATGCTCCAGCATCGGCAGCAGAAGCTCGCACTCGCCACACAAAACACGACTGCCGCCGTGACATCAGGTGGACCTCAGGCAACCTATCAAAGGTAAGAAGAAACTCATGCTGATATCTGTATATCCAGTATTGCAATAGTTTGTCCGCAAATATAATCTGATTCAAATAGATAGTAAAAAGCATTTTTAATCTATCTAAGAAAACTAAAATATAATCTATATATGAAGAAAATTGTTACTGCCTCTCTCCTTCTCTTGCTCTTTCTTTCTCTTTCTGTGCGTATGTGTGTATATATATATATGTGTGTAGGAGGGAAGGGAGAGGGTTAAAATAAGTGCATAAAAAATTAGTAATTGAATTACAAAGAATAATGCAATGATTAGGCATAATAATAATTTAGGGATCAGAAAAATCAGTAGAATAAGTCGAAATTAATCAGACAGAGTTTGCATTTAAAAATTTTTTTCCAAAACTTTAAGATTTGATTATCTAATTCTATTTATTCTTACAGATATGTATAATTTACTTTTTTCTATACATGTGTGTATGTATGTGTGCGTGTGTATACTAATATTTTAAATAATAAAAATTATTAATAAAATAAAAGAACTATTTACTATCTTATACTTGAATACGAACTATTTATCGCGCAAGAGAATATTAACGCGGCAGAATCCATTACTTGTTCGAATCACATCATTGATGCCCGACATGGGATATATTCATCGAATACTGCAAATCCGAGAAAACAGAACGATTTTCGCATTTGATGATTTAATTTGTATAGTCAGATAACACGCGCGTATATAGTGCACGGGAATAATGAAATATTAATGCTAATGTTTGATCCAGTTAATCCCAAAATTTGGGACATGTCGATTAATCAATCCTTCCTTAAAATTTAAATAAAAACTATTTATCGTAAATGTATCGTATAGGATGTCAAACTTCCGTGTTTATGAAGCGCAGATATTCTTGTGGAACGCTTAATATTCAATTTATACGAAAAGCAATATGACATGGTTGCTTTAAACGGACAGCACGGATATCAAATTCAAATTAGAATCTATCTCGCCAATTGGTCTATCAACGTGAAATCAATATTTTGTCGCTTTTTTTTTTTTTTTTTTTGAGTTTTTATAATTTGTAATCTTCTATATAACTTCAGAACTTGCAAGTTTTCAATTTTTATATCAATTCATTCTACTATCAATCCTAGCTTGCACATTGGTAGAGAGAAAAGATTTAAAGTAAAGATATCAGAATTCTAAATACATTGGAGATCCTTTATATTTAATGGTGTTCCCATTTTTGCGCACCTCTGCACAGGACAAGCGCTACTCGGCTTTCCGGACCGTTCGCAAAACACGACGCCACTGCGCGCCGCTCGCTGCCGCAGTCGCGCGCAGTCTGTTTATTATCCGTAATTGCCCATTGCTAACTGCTCTAACTGATCCGAAATACCATCTGCGTGCAGTCTCGCGCCGGCTGCTTGATATTTAATGGCTAATTAACCGACGAACCGAGGCAGCGAGAGCGCGTTTGGCCCGGTATTCTCGTGTACTTGCTCGACGATGCTGCGCCGCATCGTTGCTAGCAGGAGAAACTGAAAGGTTCGAGAAGGGTGCGAGGAGGGGAGAAGAATACCAAGACAGGAGAGAGAGAGAGAAAGTGGAAAGTGAGAGAGAAGGCATATCGCATTATTAAATTCCATTATCGCGCCGTGGCCATCGACTGTTTTCGTGCGAATAACCACGATGCTAAGCCCATGAAACTGCTCTCTCGCTCTTCTCGTTGCCGCGATGAGCACGCTTTGCGAATGAGTACGCTTTCACACGGACCGTATTGGCATTCTCGGTACTGTGTGACTCGGCTTTGAAATGACGTAGAATCTGAATCGAATACACCGGATCCTCTTTCAGAAAACCATAAATTCTCGCGACAATAATTTTCATAGAATTGTTGGAAATGGTTTTTATTATTATAAATAAAAAAAAGAATGATTTTTTAATCCATATTTTTAATTATAATTTAATTAAAAAGAAATGGTTACTCGCACTGATTTAAAATTGTGAGATGTATGTAAATATATAGCTATACAATAATGTTTGGATATTGACATGCTGGTACAAAATTATTGTTCAATCTAATAATGGCACTAATTTGCGGCGACCATAAAATTAATTGCTTGGAAATAACGATCAATCGAACGAAGCTTTTCGTGGATTTAATTGGCGTCCTGTTGCTGTAAATAACGAGAATCGAAAGTACAATGCTTTTCAATTGCTCTCTTAAATAATGAAGATCGGGAAGTACAATAAGCAAAATAAAAAATGACAGAAATAAATTAGCAGCCATATCAAGTGGTCAAATATTAAAAATTAATGAGAATAAATATAAGGAAATTTAAAAATTCATATGATTATGTCTGTATCTTTATCGACGTAATTGTTTATTGTCAGTAATATTAATTATATTCAATTATATATTTTATTAATTAATTGCTTTTCTTATCACAAAACACTTTACAATAAAGTTATCAAGGCAAAGAAAGGGATGAGAATAACAATAATTTTGCAGCGATAATCAGCGAATCCAATGTCATATTTTTATCGTGTATCGTTGGAAACTTATTTTCTTGCAAAAATTTCTGCGTTTCGAAGGACATTAGGCGGGGATTTTTAATGGGCTCATAAATATCATCGCGATGCTCGGCACGTTAATGCAACGAGCCGAGAGACCGCAGTCTCTGTTGCCCACGTACGCCAAAATAATTACCGACTTCGCGGTAATTTATCGCGGTGCTATAAAGCATGTACTGCCGTGGTATCGTTACATGGCAGACTGCGCGAAAAACATTGAAAAATAGTCGACGAGGTACACCTTTCGCCTTTCACGTTCCATGTTACAGCTTGACTTGTGATAGAAACAATTTCTAATAGATTCACCGCAGCTTCGATGACGATCTTCTTACTGGAATGTCGAACATCTGCTTTTTATTTTTCTTTCATCGCGTAATATTAGGGGCGGAATTCGGTGGATCCTTATTACGTCTACTATGTCTCGTAAACAAAAAGTTTTTTTAGAATATATATAACGAGAGATTTTTAATATTTCTTAATTATTTTTATTTTTTATTTTATTATTTATTATGTATGTTAAATTATATAAAAAAATTCTTAAATATTTAAATAAGATATAAATATACAGAAAAATATTTTCTCTCAATATTATATATGATAGAGAAAATAAATACAATACATATATTTCTGATATCATAAAATATAAAATGAAGAAGATGATAAAATATAATTTATAAAATTTCTCGTAATTCCCTCACTTGCGTGACTTAATTTCTTTTCCTTTCATTATTTTGCAATAATAAATATCTCTTCTGTGGGATCTTTGCCAGAGAAAGGAGATCCTGGGATAGCAATATCCTCTGCATCGATCTTGCATGCAACCGCTTTGATCCGTCTGAGCGAGAGAGGATCCATCGTGTCCGCCATCGCGTCGGGACGCGCGTCGAAGCGGCGAGACGATGATCGCGGAATTCATTAGCAACGCGGAGATGGATATCGCGTCCGATTGACGAATGGATCGCATGCATTAATTATACGCGGTTGCGCACACGGCCGGCCGTTTGTCACACGGTCGATGATGCGTTTAACGATTACCCGCCGATGATGCAACCGACCGGACCGGTCGCGCCGGCCGCGTCACGTCTTTCCACCGAGGGTATTTGCGCGCGCGAATGCAATGTCATTATCATAATGCAGTACCCCGTCCGGTTTTTCGAACGCGCGTGTTTTATTGTATCCCCCTTGTGGAATTCATTTACACACGACGTGCCGATCCGTATACGTAAACCACACGAGATAGATGCATTAAATTCTTTTGGATTTTTTATTTCTTCAAATTTTTATTTATTTTTTCTTTACACTTAATCCTAGAGTCCTAAGTATCGTTTCCATTAGTTACATCGAACCGGATCATCGTACGTTGGCGTATATCGCTTTATCGATAGGGCTGGAAATAATTTATAATGGAAAATTATTAATCGTGACTCCGGACGCAACGACGGATTGAACGGCTTAGCCGCGCGCTCTTCGTATTCGCGAAAATGGGCGTCGGAACATTCGCGCTATAAACAATCGCACGGAGCGTGGTCATAAATTAATAAACGGACAATAACGCGGCAAAGTAAAGCCTGACTGACGTGTTGACAGCCACGGCCGATGGTCGGTTTTGTCGTGTCGACGGCCAGGCAAGGTAATCCTATCGACTCGTCGGCACGTCGCGTCGCATCGCGCGCGCCAGAATGCGCGCGCTCGATTATCCGCGCTGCGAAACTCTCGACCTCGCGCGCCCGTCATTCCGCGTATAATCGCAGTTTAGTCCCTTTCCATATTCCGGCGCTTGCATCCGGTCGTCTACAATTGTTGGCCGTGTGCCGGCGCGTTTACGATCGATCGATCCCGTAGGACAAAACAGATTTTTCGATCACACCCTTCCGTCCGCCTTTCCCTCCTCTCTCTCCCTCTTCGCCGGATAAAGCTGTCGAATCACCACGTCGTTTTGCTTCTCATACACATGATTTCGTGCAGGTGTGTATTTACGCAGCGCCGAACACGGAACGATTTCGATGTGCAGCAGATTTGAATTCTGTGCTCATCCTGATTATTCGAATATTTTATTATCTTCATTGCGAAGCCGTTTGTCATTGTTATTAATATATTGAGGGCATAAAGGTAACAGTGTGTACGTATATATATGTAGAAAATTATTTTTATTATTATCGTTATAAAGAGAGAGAGAGAGAGAGAGCAAGCTTAAATAAATTCTACATTTTAATAAAAGACACATTTATCATTTTAATGCCTTAATTTTTTGACTACGAAATTCAGTGTAACATGCATTATTTCGATATTATTAAATGAGTTAAAACCACATTTGTAACCAGTTTATATCATTATAAGTTTGAATCTTTTGTCATTATCGTGCGCCATATAGATAGCATTCTAAATAGCATTAAAGCTAGATGCATATTTATTGCTTTTTTATACATGAAAGGAATACAATTATTAATAGTTACGTAATCTGGTAATATTAAATGTGGATTTTGCGGCAACGCAAATTTTATGAGAAATGCGCGATTATTTTTGTCAAACAAAAATTGCGAACTTTATTGAAATTTCAACGAGGAACATGTGCTTATGAATAACGACGGAAACTGCTATTCTCTCGTAAATTCATTCATTATTATAAATGTATCGCGCGTGATTATACTGGAATCACGTTAATGCAGCGAACCGGATACGTGCCGTTTCTATGCCCTTCTCGTCAACTGCACGCTGGGTATTCGATGTCAACCGTAGACGTGTCATAAAAATATTAAATTTAGTTTACAATTTAGTTTGGTACCATTGGTCATATTATTTTACGCACGTAAAATTAAACTTTTCAGTATATCTCTTTACATATATAAAAAAAATGTAAAATAAGTATAATTTTAAAATAAATATAAAATACGAGATTTACTTGAAACTCTTTTAGATTTTCAACTGCTTTAAATTTTGAAATAGCTTATGAAAAAAGTAATACAAGAATAATCACATGCATAGTCATAGCATTATATAAAAATGCAACATTAAATTAATTTATTAAATATATTACAACATAGTTTATTATAACGGTTTATTAAACATACATTTTATGTTAATATTTAAACTTTTGGATATTATTTTTGAGTTGAGAGAAACATTAAAAAGAATGAAAGAATATCGCAATAATATATAAGGAGAGTGTATAGTAATCGTAATAAAATTTCAAAAAGTCTCGAAAAAATTTTATTGCAACGCTTCCTTGATTTCTTCGAAACGCGCTGTAGCATTCCAAACATCTTATGTATTTTTCAATGTCTACCTACTGAAAGATTCGTGTGCAAGGAGCGAGAAATAACACGAGAGACGCGACGAGGACACTCGTGCTGGCTCCTTGGAAGAAATTTGCATATCCGAGTGGCAGCGAACAGGTTAAAAAGGTATAGAGCCTCGTGTTTTCCTACAGTTTTCAATCGCGTACGATAGACTATGTTACATCAGCTGACTTCGATCCCGCAGCTTCATCAGGATTCCCTGCGCGGGCGATGGTAACGTTCTACCATCCATTTATGTCGTGCCACTCGGAGCACGGCTCTTCCAACGCCTACTCATCGTAGTAATCATGACTCTTAACAGCCCTAAATCGATTGCTACTTGGCACACAGCTAGATTTGTCGTTACCTAAGAAAGAAGCAATCACTTCTTCCGTCTGGATGTTGTAAGTTGAACGAGAAAGCAAGCCCAATACAGTTGTACATTCGAACCGTGACAGACGTAATCGATTTTACGACGCTTAGGTCTCGACTAAATAAATGTTGGCTTTCTGTGAATGTTGACAGTCTCGTAAACTTAACTTTTTCCACATTTAATCGTTTAAAGAACGGCAATTTTCGCTTCTCTCACTTATATACGCTTTAGTAATCTGACTGTAAAAAGTCTCCAATTTTTTACAAAAATTTGTTACAAAGAATAGGCAATTATTCTTTTTTAATTTCGATTTTAATATCGGTCGAATATCCTTGGACGCAACGGATATTCTTTGTTTGTATTACGCTGCCGGTAGAATCTATTACGAATCCATTGAGGAGAAGAGGCCACTCAAGGTAATCGACTCGGGATAGTGGACCTCATAGTGGATACAGAGGAAGAGAGACCGCCTTGGACGGGAGTGGCCGTCTGACCGGAATTGCAACGCGCGCGGCGGTTTACCCGCCGAGATGTTAGCTTTTCGTCAAAGGATCCTATTAGTATGCGGTTAGTATTACGCCGCGCGGTGTATCAGGACACATTGAGACAACGACGCGCTATCTATTACCGATTCTCTGGCACGTGAACTATCGACCCCTTCGCCGTTCCCGCGGGCCATTCTGCCGCTCCCTCACCGCGGGGCGATTGAACGCGCATGTATGGGTATGTGTTTATGCCCGATGACATTTCTCGACTTCTCCGACGACGACGGTTTGCTTTGTGATCTCGATAGAATCGAGATCGACGAGATCAGCCAATAAGGCTATTAGCTTGTGCTCCCTGGCTCGACCCTTAACATTGGCTGGAAATCGCGCGCACATTCCGGCGTGATCTACCGTAAGAGATCGATCGCTCTTAAGCAGAGGATACTTGGAATACTTCGGTGAATACCATTATTTACGAAGACGCGATAGCTTCACGTGTCCCGAGATGCGTATCGGGATTCACGTGTATCTTTCCGTATTATCGAGTATAAGGAGGATCGCGTCGCCTTTTCTATCGCTACATCATGGAAATATTTTAATTACGCATTCAAAAATCATACACACAGAAAAATACATACTATATTTAACTAAATATTACTTGTTTCAACTATTTCAAAAGTTCATATATCCGCAAATCTATCATAAGTTCATCATAAGCATCAAATTTATTCAAAATGTATTCTGAATCCTAGTAAGTTTAATATTTCAATCAAGAATATTAAATTATCTAATTGAAAGAAATACACTAAATTTTTCTGATCTAATAAATTTTCTTACATTAAATTAACCACATCTGACTTTTCTTCGATAAAATTTTAAATAATAAATTTTTAATTTTATTATAATTTTCTTCAAAAGAAAATAATTACTTTTTTTTGAGTATATGATAATGAGTTTTTCTAAAATTTATGACAAGTCTATTTTAAGATTATTATTAAGAAAATATTTTTTAAAGATAACTGTTGCTTAAAAGAAGAAAAGTAAACTGAGTAATCATTTTTCTTAGCAATAGAATAATATTTTTCTGTGTGTAGAGAATAGCGAACAGTAACTTTGAATCATCTTATATACGATAGAGATAAAGAGGCGTTACAAGAGGCGTTTTATTAACTTTTTTTTATAACTTAATTATAATTGTCCTACTCTTTGCAATAGAATAAAATTGATTGATTGGTAAATCGATATTAAAGTGTTAACAAATAGGTATCCTACTGTGTCTTTTTCTCTATCTCTCGCTTCACTTGTCTCTTTGTACTTTCGCACGATTTTGAACACGCACACATTTGCATTGCGAAAATGGATTGTCGCGCGTACGACTGGGTTATCGGACGACTGTAATTGTTACTCAATTAATTACTGTTCCATGTTGCAAATCACTTTGATCTCTTGTTTCGTTCACGATAGTCGATATATGTAGAGAGAGAAGTGGGTAAAAAAAGAAAGGAATTGCGCAATCATTCACTGGACAAGGTATGGTCACGGAAACCGCGCATGTCGCCACGGGAAACTACATTAACGGCATAATAATTCCACAATTTTGTCATATGGAATTGCGCATTTGTTAAGCCGCACGTATAATATTACCTTTGATCATCAGTATATAATCTGTTGCCCGTAGGGTGGTCACATCTGAATGCATGAAACAGAATAATCTTTGTTTTTTCATTATCATGTATCGCGAGACATTATTTAAAAAACTGATTTCCGATCTCTTTCCGCTTTCGATACAAATCAAATCCATAAAAATCGTTTTCAATGCTACTCGTGTTATTCTCCAGAAGTAACAATTATTTTAAAATTACATATATATCTATCAGCATTAAGCCATTTAATAATTACCTTTATTTCTTTATCGCTCGTTTGTTTTCTGCTATCGCTTGTTTTCGCAGAAGATAATCCTCTAAAAGATACTCCGCAAGCAATTTACGTTAAATACTGCTGTTTTGTGCATTATACAAACGATTGTATTAAACTCTAACGAGAAGCCAAATCATACCGCTATAATACGCTATAATACGTATTACATACTAATTAAATTGAAATTAACTCGGCAAACGCTAGTAAATTCATTAACGATACTCATAATAATACTGAAATACGCGCGCCGGTTGATCAATTTCATATATCAAAGCATGTATTAAATCTGAACAAAACTAGTCACTCTATTACGTTCAACATCAATACTCGTAACTTTGATGCGATTATGTTTGCCCGAGAAACTCACGTGTTCCCATGTAGAACGACGAAGCATCGCTACGGGTAAAAACGAAATACATAGAGGCGAAGTAGAAGTGCTTGGTAGACGCCGGGCGGTCTGCCAAGCGGCGTCGTCCCTTTAATTGTCGGCATATTTTAACCGTAATTTTCTTCTGTTCCAGTTGTCTGAGCCCGAGATCTGCGTTCTTCTACGAGTTCCCGCCTAACGGTAAGTCGCACATAGACTTCGCAGGTTCATTTGTCTCTCGGCTTAAGATTTAAGAGGGGAAAACTCGAGCCTCTTCGTCGTGTTTTTCGTTTGCGAGAGGTAAAATTAGAATTTCGCGAATATTTTCGTTGCTAGTTATTCGTAATTATTAACATATATAGTTTTAATAATAAGCACTAAAAAAAGTTTCAGTTGTCTCATATATTATATTCGCAATTTTGACTTTTCGTAAAAGTAAATTACGTTTATATACAACAAACAATGACCACACAAGCACAGAGTCGTCGCGATTACATTCTTCCTTTTAATTTATCGATTTACTCGCAATATACGGATCATTTTACGAGAACACAGAGAGTAACTCCGTAATAGAGAAAACTATACCGAAGCTTACTAAAGCCGAACGAACTACATCAGAGATTTGAATGCAGTAGAAGGTTATTTAATGCATCGATCGTAGGGCTTTGCATGATGCATGCATTCCCGGGGCGAGCACGTGCATACGTGACGTGGACGCGATTTTCAAGAGGCGAAGCATCGCCTCTTTGTGTGCGCGTCCCTACCAATGAAATATATCTAAATGATCTAACAATGGGGACGACCATGAACGGACGATACCTTTCTACCTTCCTCAGTGTTGCGATGCGCACGTACTCACATCGTTATGCGAGAATGTGGGAGAATCTCGCCACGCGCCTTTGCGGATAACCGATCGCCAACATTAGCAAACAGCTGCAGTTGGGATCGCTCCAACAACATTGTTGTCTCGCGTCTCATCCGTTATACAAATCGGATAATGCCGAGTGCGCGTAGAACGGGTACTTTATAACCGGCATTTTCAAGCCGGGAGAAGATCGAAGTCCCTCGATAGCTTGACTTGTAGTTGTCCCGTAGCTCTTAAGCCTCTTAACCATCGTCAAGAATGAGATAAAGTTATTTGCAGATCTACTTACGGCGACGAAAAAGATATAGAGAAGCTTTCCATGCAAATTTGATATTCGCAGAAATAAAAATTTTATAGATTAGATAAGAATGACGGATACAACGATGTGAAGATGAATTTTAGTTTCTGTAATACTATATACTCGCTCCTTTATGTCGTAATACAACATTCCCGATCAATTTATACGCAACTACATCTGTTGTACAGTGGAAAAAAAATTTTCGAATGAATATTTACCACCATCTGATACCATCCATGTAATCGAGTCGTATATAAGAAATATTCGATGTGTTACAACTTGTATTACTTCGAGGCGCACCGTTCGGATCCACCACCGATTTTTGCCGATGAGATACGCGCTCGAGAAGCTAGTTATATTACTAGTGCACATGCAATCGGCCCCTCTGGAAGAGAAGAAGTAAAACCAAGATGCTACGTAGTGCGGTGGAATTTTTCGAGATATCGAAAAACACTTTAGAGATCCTTTATTGGAAAAGCGGCTGAGAGGGAGAAGGGCGCGACCGATCGCGGAATGCGAGGGGGAAGGAGGGAAAACTCGCGTTGATATTTCATTTCTATTGACTTCTACCATCACCCTCGTGCACGTTATACTCTTTCCACCTATGAATACGTAATTGAGATCTAGTTCTCTCTTTCTTTCTTCGTATATCTATTAATATATCTTGAGCCCTGTTTTTCGCTTTTGCCTTCTTTCTAAAAGCCTTCTTTTTTAAAAATGTTCGAGTTTTGATAATTGATGTCATTTAACACATGTGACTAATATATTTATTAGACATGTTTTATCTTGGTTCTCTCAATTTAAATTTTATTTTTTATTTTACTATAGAGAGAGTATGATTTATATGTATGTATCAAAGTTATTTTATTTGACAAAATATTTGTCGGTTGCAAATATTTATATAAAACATCGATATTGCGATTATCATTATCATGTTGCAAATTTTAATAATCTAACAATAAGTAATATACAAATGCCCTGCATTCGGAGAAAAATTCGCATCGCATAGGAATTAAGTGTTACTATGATTCCTATTATTTCCTCAAATTCCAAAATTCCGACGCGCTCGCATCCGATGACAAGACGTTGACACTTCTCGACCGTCTTCCGGCAGCAATGAGGGGCAGCTCGTGAAATTCTCGATTCCATCCCCCGCGTCTCTCCGCGGCAGAGATACTCCGTTGAATCGCGGGGACTAATCAGTTTAGGGTGGAAACGCACGAAGCGGCGCGCGCTTAACAGTAATTCCGTGTAAGAGGCGTCGATGCCGGATTGCTGCAGCACTTAGCAGTTGTCGCGTAGCACACAACGTAGTATACGGTGGGGACCGACTGAGCCAACCGAACCCAAACCCCCCAAACCTTGTGCGGGGTTGCCGAGAGATACGCAAATACCCTTGCGCTCTTGGTTGTGCTTGCTTGGCGAAACGCACGGACTGTGGGAGAGCAAGCCTGTTTGTCTGGACTGGAATCCAAGTAAGAGCCCGGGCGGCCAAGCAGATAGACAAGTTGAGCAAGTGCGCTTATCCCCGCATAACGCGTGCAACTGCATCCTGCTCTCCTCTCTGTTAGTAATGCGCGCATGCTATATCGCGCCCGGTATCCGTACCGGGATGAATGGTAATGAATGCATGGTACGTTTGTGCGCGCCGTATGATGAATTCGTCGAGATGTCAAGCGCGTAGCTTCGCGCTCTGAGATACGAATGGCCAATGATTGATATGTCCGAGGAATTTCTCTTTGGTATCCGTGTACTTGAAAATACATATCTCGAGAGAAGGCAATAATAATTGCTGACGCTTTATTCGGAGTTAAGAGTTACTGCGCAAAAATTTTTCTCACCGACGTTTACACAAGTAATTAATGATGGAATTATTGAATGAATTTCTTTTCTTATATAACATAATGAAATTGTTTAATATAATTTAACGTGATTATGTTTTGAGTTGAAAAAAGAGAAAGAAATTGCTACATTGCTTATGGTTTCTAGAACAATATTTACGGATTATTGTAACAAGATCAAACAAGTACATTGAATTTTCCGCGACGAAATGCATCGTCCATACGGATGGAATCCTGCTAGAATGATGCGTTTATCCTTCGTGCAAGTGCATTTCACCAACGTCACGTTCCGCTTACTGTGACTGTCGCATCGAAACCGATGATTGTGTGTTGTTGCACTGCTTGTGCCTCGAAGCCGCCGTGAAATTTCGTGTGTGCAACGAGAGAACTCCGGCTGTTCAAATAAGAAACAACGATGGAACTCGGATACGCGGGTATCCTTCGTATATCTTTTTTTCTTACAAACATGTTACTGGTACGACATTTATCAGGATAGTTATCTTAGCACTTTAATCCCGAATATGACATTAAATGGAAAATATTGAATTAACAGAGAAAGATTTTATATTGATTATATTTCTCGTTAATAATTTTTTTAGTTTAATTATATCTTTCTTGTGAGAAAGTCCAGTCTTTCCTTTTTATATAAAACATGATATTTAAATATTTTTTTAATGCGGGATATAATTTAAAATAATAATTATATAATGCAGTTAGAAGAGAAATTGATTTCAAGTGTAATTTAAAAACAAAATTATAAGGATACACATGTTGAAGAAAAACAAGATAAAAGAAAAGATGGCATAATGCGGTTAGAATTATATATGCAATTTACAGAATTTTGACATTTCCTTTTTGTCTTTTTTCTTAAAAGATGAAATAATTTTTGCAAAATCGTAATTAATAAATATCGATATATATTAGCAATTTTACATGCGCGTACAATATATTGGTTTTAAACAAGAAACCGGTTTGCCCAATGTGTTGGAAAGGTGGATATCGTGCGTAAATTGATAGTCGTTGCAAATTCAATTGCTGGAATGCTTACTCGGTGGATTGATTCCTTGGCCACTGATTGCTAAATACGCATCTGTGGGAAAGCAGATCTGGTCTGTCTGGATCAGAACTCCGATAGGGAAACCTCTGCGTTTGTGTATATCTCGCCGCGCATTGAATCGCACCAACATGCCGAGCTTTCATCTAAAACTCAACAGCGGCGATTGCGTTTGTATTCTATGACGTACGGTTAAATTCGTCGTGTCGTGTAAGTTTCGTGTAGTAGAACGACAACTTGCAGAGAACAAGGATCAGCGACTTTAAACGTGGATCAAGGAATAGATGCGAAACAAAATCAATCTATAGTTTCAAATAACTTTTTAAAATTTGAATTTTTCCATATAACAATACGGATTATGACATATAGATAAATTCGTGTACATTAAATCTTTTATGGAGTTCAACGACATCCATTTTTTTTTTTTTTTTTTTTTTTTTTTTTTTTTTTTTTTTTTTTTTTTTTTTTTTTTTTTTCGATCTTTGGAAACGATATTTTTTCCCAACTGAATTTGTTTTCGATTATTTTTCCCTCTCTTTTTATCATGAAGGATGTGCGATGATCACACAGTCCCCGGGTTTCCGTATAACGACGTGGTGAATTGCGACTTTATTTCGTCGTTTTTCGCGAAGTGAAGTCTGATCGAAAATACATTCGGCCGATGGCAAATGGAAAAAAAGAAGGCAACGGAACACGTTTTCTCGAACGACAAACCCAACGGCAAGGCTTTTTAACGCAATTGCTCTCTGACGGCCCGTGTCCTGGTTGTGTTTCCGTACGAGCAATTGAATCACTGTCGCCAATCAAGAGGAACTTTTGCGCAAAGAGGAAAAAGCGAGTCGCATGGCGCTCTGCAACGATTGCCGTAACGCGATTTGTCCATCGCGATTCGCGGCTCAGTTATTGTGCTTTTAGCGACGTTACCTTCGTCGATTGGTTTTTCATCTCGGATGACACGACACGAGGTATAATAATTTGGTGGAAAATGTAGCGATAAATAAAATATCGTTTTTGAGTACGTCCCGCTTCGTTCTCGTTGACGCGTACCGATCAAAGAATAAAGTGATATTATTACATATCTCAACGAAAATGAATAGACAGATTTTGTCGCCATTCAATCATTTTGGCAATTTCGATACTTTG